CTTCCGATCACAAGTTTATATTCCAAGATAATCGTCAGTTACTTCTTCATAAGTTCAACATCCAATCTGCTCAATACTGTTACTTACAGTTTTTCTTTAAGAAGAAAAAAGAACACAGTGCTTATACCTGGGATGGGGGTGCTACCAGATCTCCAGTTTCCCTCAAAAGATTTTGTAAGATTATCTAATTGCTTCAAGTACGACAAGATTTTGTAAGATTATCTAATTGCTTCAAGTACGACACTTGGAATAGGATTCTGAAGTCCAAGTAAGTTCTTAGTGAAAGCTGGGTGCTGTAAAAACAGAACACTACACAAAACATTAATCTAACCAATCTGTGTTACCGGAATCCTGTCTTTTAGCCAGGTTAATTTTCAAACCAGATTATCTGAATTACATTATAACAATGCCTGAATTACATTGTTTGATAAAGATTTAACAAATAAAATCAAGGAGTTTGTTTTTAAATAAAAATATTATTTTCATTATTTGACCTTGATTTTTAATTAATTTCTTTTCTTAGTTTGATCCCTTAATTTTTAGTTTATTGACAATTTTAATTCTTAATTTTTTTTATATTTACCTTTTATTATGTGGTGTTGGTCTCGTCACAAAGATCATAAATTTAAAAAATTAATTTTCATGGACTTCTGTATTTTTAGTATATATTTTTAAATTTTATTTTTTAATATTTAATTAATTATATATTATTTTTTTTTTTGCTGTTATTTTAATTTTATATTTTGAATTGTAGATTACTAGGTTCTTTAGAGTTTACTTGAATTTTTCGTGTTGTCATGGATATTGGTTTTCTACATTGTGGATGTTACCTTTAATAAAAAAATACAAAAATTATTCACATGAATTGTCACGTCATTTGAAAGGTACACATGATACATGACAAAGCAGTGCAATTGTGAAAACAAAATATTCCTAGATCATGGAAATTAGAAATAGAAAAAGAAAAAAGGACCATGTCAGCTCGCTTGCTGTCCTTTCAAAATTGATCATGAAATATCTCCTCGAGGCCCTGTCAAAATGAACATTGAATTATAAATTATGCATCCTCTGCCATTGCCACCAGGAAACAGATCTCTCAGTTGAAATTATTGGTTGTACTGTGGAAGCATTACTGACCCCGAAAAACATGCAGGAAGACAATTAGATGATGTAAAACTCCTGGGACCCGAATAGTAGAGATGACGATTGACTCGGACAATCAGATAAAAAAATAAAGAAAGTTCGAGATAAATAGAAAAGTTACGTGGACAATCAAAGAAATTTTTTGAAATTTCAAAGAAGAAATAAAATGTTTTTGTTGGTGACACATTAGTATCATTTATTTCCAAATGCAAGAAAAACTTGTTTTTTAGAAAATAATATATTTTAATTAACCAAGTTTTAAATTTATTTTTAAAAAAAATATTAATTCAAGTTTTATAAACTTTAAGTTTATTAAAAGCTTATAAAATTATTAAATTTAAAATTTATAAAATTAATTAAAATATACGGAAACTAATATAAATATTTATATTAATAATAAAAAACATTAATCATGAAATATCTGATGAGGCAGCATAAAATTGTTTGAACAATGGTATCTCCTCGAGGCCCTGTCAAAAGGAACATTGAATTGTAAATTATTCATCCACTGCTATTTCCAATAGAAGAAAGTTCTCTCACTTGAAATTATTGGCTGTACTGTGGAAGCATTATTGACACCGAGAATCATGCAGACAATGAGATGATGTAAAACTCCCGGCAACCGAAATAGCAGAGGTGATGACTGACGAGGACAATCAGATAAAAAATAAAGAAAACTCGACATAATTAGAAAAATTATGTTTAGCAGAGAAGATATTTAAAATTTCAAACACGAGATAAAGTGTTTTTTTTGTTTTTTGATGAAGGTGTCACATTAAAAGGGTATTATTCAGTTTGGAAGGAAAGAAAAACTTGCCCTGAGATACAATGATTCTTTTTAAATTGTAACGGTGCGACGTCATCTGGTGATAATAGAGGCTCTTGTCGTGCCTTATGTATGTGTGAAGTGTGTTATGTTGAAAAGAGTTTTTTTAATTTAATCATAAAATTATAATTAATGTTTTAGGAGTCGCCACCGGGTCTTATAGTCACTAGGAACTTAGTCTGCGAGAGTTTGAGTAGGGGGCTGGTTGTGCAATAGAAAGACGCATCACCCTTACTGCACCCTACTTAAGGTAAGCTGCATTGTTATTTGATTATTTTTTCTGAGTCAGGTTTCTATTGGTCTTTTCTAAGTCTCAAGGCAGTTTATCTTCATCAGAGAGTCTTTACCTTATTGGGTTAAATCATAACCGTTCTAAAGTCTAAATTTTAGCATCACATTTCTACATTTTGTATCTTTAATACCTAAGAATGTACTTTATCATGTAATTTTACACCTTACAAATATTAAAGTCTATATCTGGATCCTAAGAAAATAGAAAAAGATTTTTGACATGTTGGCCAAATCCTAATGGATAATCATAAACTGGTTACAATATCCATTTTTGGATTTTTTTGAAAAAAACATGAAAACGATGCAATTTTTGTTTTTTTTTTAAGATTTGGCTATATGCAATAAAATATTTTTTTTCATTTTGAAAATGTTTTGAATTTTTTTTGAAATATTTTGGATAAAACCGAGTATTTTAATACCAAATTTGTATTTTATGGTATAAATATACAACCCGATATTATACAAAATTGGTAGAAAAATATGCGAGAAAATCATAATTTTTTTGAAATGATTTTTTTGAAAATTTTTGGATTAAAAAACAAAGGTACAGTCCACTGCATGAACAGTGGACATGAATTATAATTCACGCCCACTGTTCACTCAGTGAACAGAGGCAGTGAAGAAGAAGAAGGGGAAGAGGAGAGAGGGCGCACAACTTGGCGTGGCAGTGGCCTAGTTGAGGAATACAGAGTGCTGCCAGTGGTTGCAGCGGTGGAGGCCAACGTCTGCTATATGAGTGACACGACTAAAAGATTGATGTCTTTTTCCAAATGCAGGAGTGTCGAAGTAATAAATAACCTGGCAATACTAAGGTCGAATCACAAAGAGGTTAATTGTATAAATTATAGATAATAATAATACAACAAAACAATACTAATAGTAGTAGTATTAGTATTAGTAATAGTAATAATAATGATAATAATGAAGAGAACAAGAAGAAGAAGTTGATGGGAACTTTGAGATGGAAAATTAATGTAAGGATTAAACAATGATAACAACAAATGTCAAGGTTAAAGGAGATTCCAATCAGATTATAGTATAAACTCTTATTATTCAATTGGAAACCACACATAAAGGAGATTCCAATCAGATTATAAATTGTTAACATGATTACATTAGTTATTTTATTCGATTAATGCTTATACTTGTAAATCTCGTCAGATATTTTGATGATTATAATTTATGTTAACAACAAATCAAGTTCCTTTCATAGCTCAGGTGTCAGTTATACCATACAATATAAAACATGTTAGTATCAAATATTAAAGTCCATATTAAGTTTACACTATACTTATTATTACACCATTAGTGTAACCTTTTCATCTTGACATAATAAACTTAGCTAAACATAATGAAAGAAAGAAAAATAAATAAACAAAATAAGAACATAAAGAAGATAAAAGTTAACTAAGTAAAGGAAAAGAATTGAAAGGCATAAACTTGATATTAATGAAAGCAAAGCATAAACATTATAAAAAATACAAAGAGAAAAAGCAAGAGCATGATCTTTATCTGGAAACTAAGATGCCTAAATGCATGGAAAATGTCTCCTTTTATAGGCCAAAATTAGGAACTATTGATTTGAAGACTAATTGATAAGTGGGTGATCAACTCTTGACTTAGTGACAATCCTTATCTTCTCTTATCTGCCCAAAACATCATTGATAACATCAAAATTGAAATCACTTGAAAACATAAAAGTTGTAGAAAATTATCTCAACTTTCTTGTGTAAACACTTGAGGTCATTTGGACATCTACAATTCCACATATAGGTCAAAGACTGAACAGTGCTCGAGCTAGATCACATATTCGGATTTCTTTATTATTGCTCCAATTTGGACTTGAAAATGGCCTTTTTAAATCTTCAGCTCCATATAAAAGTTGTAGGCCTATATCTTACCTTTCCATCCATATAAAGTAGACCTAAATTGGAGATTACAACTCTAAATTTGATTCAATTACCAAATAGTGTTCTGGTTTGGACTGCATCATCATCTCTTTTCTAAGTTTGGCCATCTCTTTGTCCTTTCAATTTGAGTTCTTAAATTCATCAATCAATCCTTTCATTTATGTGATAGGCCTGCATTTAAAATAAACATTTACCATAAATTAAAGGTATCTTATATTATTAGATATGTTATTATAAAACATGCTTTAATTAAGGAGTTATTGATAATTCAAGTGCAAAATGATGATATAAAACCTTAATAAAAAAATACATTTTTAAGTACTAGTCACACCCCCTAACCAGTTATTACTAGTCTCTAGTAATCAAAGCATTAAAATATAAATTTTTTTTTGCAAATTCCACAAAGCAAGGTATTTATTATTCAACTTCCATTAATCTATCCAGATAAACAAACTCTCATTAAATTTATATATCTATATGCTCAATACCTCTTAAACAAGATATTAGTAAACCTTTCTTTTGTGCTCAATATATCAACATATAGTTATAGGTCTTTACTTGGACGAAAACAAAATTCTTATTCTAATGTTTAAGGTTAACTTCCTTGGGTTGGGATTTTTTTTTCTTTTTTTTTAAATATATATACATGTAACTTAAAACACAATACATTTTTAACCCATGTAACGAGCTTTTGACTAATGAATCCCAAACCAGTTGGTTTTAGGGTATTACGTGTTGAGACACCTCTACGAGCTTAGTAACTCAGGTTGTAGATATTGATACGTAGATAGTACAATGTTTAATTTTCTTAAGCTTTTCTCCTCAACCCATGTAACAAGCATTGCGCCAATAGCTCTCAAGTCAGTTGATTTTAGGGTATTAGTTGTTAAAACACCCTTTCGGGCTTAATTGCTTAGGTTATGGAGGTTATGAAACCAAACTTATCTATATTTTTATTATCATTATTTTTTTTTGCTCTTTTTTTTGTTTTTTTTTCAAATTATATACTATCCATTTCCCTTAGTTGTTACCTTTAACAAAAGAACATAAATAATGTAATAATCCAATATGCAACCCATAATCATATGTTAAAGTGTGTGTGTGTGTGTGTGAAAATTAAGGTTTAAGAATACATATTAAATGAGTATATGAGCAGAATTAAGTGATAATAATATGAGAGTTTGTAAACCTGAATATTTCAAGAAGTATTATAATAGACCTTGCTAAGAATGGTTGCTAAGATGCGTCTCAAGAGTCATTTTAACAAAGGAGCTCTTTTACTCCGTCATCATAGTAACAAAAATTTTACACATGCTTTATGAAATGGAAAACAATTTTTTTTTTATCAACTACTACCCTCCCCCCCAACCAAAATGAGACATTGTCCTCAATGTCCTAAAGTAGAAAGATAGAGTACAAAAGACATCACCTGAAATAACGACTATTGATAAACCTGAAACACACTTAAACAAAAATAAGAAATAACAAAACACAATAATAAAACAAAAGGACATAAAAATTCACAAATAAAGACTCAAATCCAATCTAAACATTTTACGGCTTTCCTTAGATAACCAATTTATATGACTCATAGAGGGATCAATTACAGGAAAGAAAAATTGTAGTTGGTCAATCAATTGTTCAGCAGTAGCAGCATAGAATATGATTTATTGTGCAGAAGATGTTAGAAATTCCTGTTCCATAGCATGATCAAGAAAAGACAACAACTTATCATAATAACTATTAACATTTAACAGACCTATGGGTTTATGGTGAATGTGCAGTTGGGCCGAAGAGGAAATATGAAAGATCTCTTTCAATGTGCTAAGATCACCTAGTAAGGTAATGAAGGTATCAACATGGTTAAACATTGCATTCATTCGAGTAGACATTGTGGAGACCTGTAGTTCCTCTCCAATTGTTTTTCCAATGATGTCCCCTTGTGGTAAAGCTTCGGGGACGACCCCCAAAACTTGACTAACTCCTAAAAATGCAGCTATTGACATACCTTCCATTAACCCAAGACTGCCTCCCCCATACACTAAATAAATCTTTCCCCCAACTAGCACCTGACCAAGATGATTTGCTAATTCTAATAACTCCTTTTCTTTTCCAGGACTAGATCCACCAAAAACACAAATATTTCTTATGTGATGAATTGAGGAACTTGCCATTTCTACACATATTTATATTTTTTGAATGTATAGGTTGAGTAGAAATGAAAGGAAGGAAGAGAGGATTTTATAGATGAGAAATTAAAAAGGCAATAATACCACCTATATGTAAGCTAGTTGGAATCTCACACACACACTCTCTCTTTCTTTTTTTTTTTTTAAAGAAGCATGTGTATGTATAGGTAGTTGTGATTGTGGCTCACATCTTCCCTTGGTTTTACATCCAAGAACGACTTAAATGCCTTCTATGGGTCGAGGATAGGCTTCCCATCCAGTTTTTTTAAAAACTAGCAAATATGGTCTTTTTTAGTGAAATTCCCAAGACTAAGTTGATCATGTTCTTTATGAAAATAGGGTCATAAATCATGAATTACACGATGCACATCTCCACTATGATGCGTCTCAAGAGTTAATAGAAGATTATCTAAAGACTCTTTACTCAGGCCATCCTTAATGAATTGTATTTTATTTTTACGATTTATAGATACCATTTCTAAAGAACGACATTGTGTATTACAAGTTCATCTAGCACATCGATGACAGACTTTCAATCATTTTGCATGACGTTTCTTTGCAAAAGTGTTTTTACCTATTCCAGGCATGTGTGAAATGAAGTAATTAGAAGACTGACTTGATAATCAGACCTTTGCTTTAATTAACTAGCGAATATCTTCAGGAATTTCATGATTCATTAACAACCTCAATCTTACACATCTAGCATGGTAACTTTTTGTAATCACATTTTAAGGTAGAGCGGAAAAATACTTCTTTAATTTTTCAAGATTAGTGTCCATTATCAAATGAGAATTGAAGTGAGATTCAAAGAATTGCACAACGATATATACAGATATTAGTTATTATAAGAAACTGAAAGAATCGACTTAAGTCATGGAGTACCATTATCCGCCATTTGACTAGGGTGATAGAAATTAGCAAAAATCACTCAAAAGAAAACATAAAAACAATGTGAGAAAAACAAAATAATCAACCTTTATCTACAAGATTATTCAAACCAGTTGGTTCATTTTCACTAGAAAAATTATCAAAGTAAGCTTTCAAAGGATGTCCATTTAACTTAAAAACATTATCATGCTTTGGATTCTTAATATCAAAGGCCCTATAAGGATATACATGTTTCTCAATAAATGGACTGCCCCATCTTGATCTTAGCTCTCTAGAGAATAAATGGAGGTGAGAATTATAAAACAAAACTTTTTGACCAGTATCAACTTTTTGATAATTTTCACAAGTTTTGCAGAATGCATGCGTGTCTTTGAATATAGTGGGCCAATAAAATCCATTTTAAATATTTTCTACAGCTTTCTTTTTTGACGAGAAATAACTCTCACATGCTTCAGAATGACAAAGTTTAATGACACTATTTACCTCATTATCGGGAATGAATCTTTGAAATATTTGATTAGGACAATATTTGAATAAGTAAGGGTCATCCCAATAAAAGTTCTTTACTTCATTCAAAAACTTTTCTTTGTCCTAGGTACTCTAATTAGCTGGTAAATCTTCCAAAGCAAGAAAATTGATATTTTCATCATACCAAGGCATTGGACTAAGAGAAAGTAAGGATTTGTTAGGAAAGTAATCATCGATTGGTGTGATGTCAGATGTTGAATTTGTTGTCACTTTTGACAAAAGATCTGCATCAACATTTTCAGTGCATTTTTCATCCATGATTTCTTCCTCAGAATAAATCATTTGCAAATCTTCAAATTCATCCAACTCATTTTTACTTAAAGATTGATGTCTTTTCCCAAGTGCAGGAGTGTCGAAGTAATAAATAACCCAGCAAGACCGGGGTCGAACCACATGGAGGTTAATTCTATAAATTATAGATAACAATAATACAACAAAAACAACAATACTAATAGTAGTAGAAGTAGTATTAGTAATAGTAATAATAATAATAATAATAATGAAGAAAAAGAAGAAGAAGAATTTGATGAGAATTTTGAGATGGAAGATTAACGTAAGGATTAAACAATGATAACAACAAATATCAGGGTTAGAGGATCCACTAATGATATGTGAAATAAGTATAGTATAAACTTTTATTATTCAATTGGAAACCACACATAAAGGAGATTCCAATCAGATTATAAATTGTTAACATGATTACATTAGTTATCTTATTCGATTAATGCTTATACTTGTAAATCTCGTCAGACATTTTGATGATTATAATTTATGTTAATAACAAATCAAGTTCCTTTTATAGCTGAGGTGTCGGTTATACCATACAATATAAAACATGTTAGTATCAAACATTAAAGTCCATATTAAGTTTA